CTGTCTGTCTCTTTTCTGCTGAAGGCGCTGTGGAGTCAGACAGGCGTCTGTAGTCCTGGAGGGTAGTGAAGCTGGACTCGGTACCAGTTTGAATTGTAGCGGGCCATCAGAAGAAGAGGAGTGGAGGAGGCAGAGGTGGAGCAATGTCGGCCTTGTGGTGCGATGACGAAGAAGAGCTTAGGGTGGGCGGAGTAAAAGGAGGGTTGAGAGCCAAACCGAGGTTCTCCTTCACTGAGGTCAAACTGCTGCTGGAGGCGGTGAAGAGGAACAGATACATCATCCTCAGTGAGTTGGAAGGACTGTGTGTATGTGTGTGTGTGTGTGTGTGTGAATGGAGATGATCTTGGTTGATGGGACCTTTGGGACACCTCGGGACACCTCTTGTACCAAGCAGTGTAATTCTACTGTATGTTTTACTGAGATGTTATTATCACCCGTCTTGGACAATAAAGGAAATGGCTGTTATTGTCTCATTGCCAAACACTAGGATCAGACTGAGCTGCGAACTTGGGAACACAGGTTTAGTTCTGATACTAAGGCTTACATCATATACTTTATCTCCCTCCCTGTAGGAAAGTTTAACCAGGGGGTGTCAGCTGAAACCAAGAAGCAGACCTGGGCTGAAATCACAGATCAGATCAATAGTCTGGGAGAAAATCACAGAGAGGTTTGTTACTGTGTTCAACTTATTATTACTGATGATGGTTGTGTGACTTTACAGGTCCAGCCCTTTTCTATATTCTGACATAATTTGATTGAGTTATATATGGAAAATCTGCATTTAATGTGTTTCTCAGTTAAATGCAGTTTTCAGTGTTATCCTTTTGTATAGCTTACACCAGTGGTTTTCAAACTTTGAACATGCACAACTTGCATGGCATTTGTTGTGACCAGCTGAGCCAGAGATCCTGGAGAAGGATTCTATAGAAGTAAAACATTCATTAATTCATAAGAGAAAGAGCTAAAATTGAAAAAAAAAGTCTTTGAAACCTTTTTATGCAGCAGAAATATGATTTCTGTCCTGTTAATGATCTCCTGACCCCTAATCTCAAAGGGTGAAGAATTGGCACTTCTGCTAGTGACTGTTTTCATTGACCAGTTTGTTGTTTTGTCTAAAAAGAGTGAAAAATCACATTTGCCTCAATGTAAGGGTGACATCTTCCAGGTGTTTTTGTCTGACCGATTGTCCAAAAGTCCAAAATATTCAATATTAGTATTCTTGATAAATGACCAAATGATAATCCAAATTGCTTGGAGGCAATTTTGTGCCTAGTGACAAATTCACACATTTTTTTAGGTAGGCTGCTACCTGAAAAGGGTGATGATACAAGGCTTTTTCAAGGTGGTGTGATTTTCTCTCAGGTGCGTCAGATCATGAAGAAATGGGCAGACCTCAAATGTGATGGAAAGAGACGCATCGCAGCCCTGCGGGGCCCCAACGGCAGCAACCTGAGGAAGAAGAACCTGGGCCCCGTGGAGAGGATGGTCCATAAGATACTGATGATGAGTCCTAGAGGAGGTAAGAAGAAGCAAAGAGAGTGAGACATGCTGGGCTTCATTCCTTCCTCTTTTTGAATTAAAGTATTGAATTTTTTAAACTAGTTTTCTTTTGCTGGTTTTCAGATGGCGACAGTGATCTGGACCTGGGCGAAGATGATGATTTCTCCAAGCTTTTCAGTAAAGGGCCACCCCCTAACCCTCCTGCCTACTCCTACCTCAGCCTGACTGACAGCTCCCACTCATTACCTGGAGGAGCCTCCTTTGACATCTCTCCTCTGTCCTCCCCAGAGAAGGAACTTACGGGTAAGTCAAGCTGGGTAGTACGAAACACTTTGAAAGCCTTTCCCCCTCCACTGACATGTGTTTGTACTAAATGTAAAGAAAGTTCTTGTTGGATTTGGATGTGTGAATCTGAGTCAAAAGAAGAAAACATCCTAATTATTTTGTTGAATATCTGAACTAGTTTGAACCTTTAGTAAACAACTGCTTAATATAAGTAAGTTTCAGTTTATATGTACACAAACGTCTAAGCCCCTGCTGTGAGAACATAAAAGGTAAAACAAGACAAACTGGATTGAAAAAGTGTTTTACAAACTAATACATTGGCTGCCAAGCACCTGGGCAACACTCTATTATATATTTTATGGACATTCGATTTCTGTTCTACTCTGTTGCCTCCTTTCTGAAACACTTAGTTTGAGGTAGTCGAGGACATTTTGGACTTTGGAAACATCTAACTGCCGCTGAGCCCTGCATAGTGACGCTGCCCTGTTTTGCAGGAGACCCTTTCTCATCTGACTTTGACTTCGACCTGGCTGACGACGGAGGTAAATATCAACTTTTATACAGCTGATATTAGCCAAGCAGTTTGGCTGTTGGCCAGGGCTGCAGTAGTGTTAAAGGACATGACATCATCTAAAATGTCTAATTAAATTGATGTAAAACGTTCATATGGGATGGGTTTGTTGGTGTCGGGACATTGTGAGATTGTCGAGTTATGCCAGAATTGAGGGAGAAAACCTTTTTTTTTTTACAAGCCCCTATAAATGTTTTGATTGAAAAAGATAAATGCACTGGTGAGGTCAGTGCTCAGTGTTGAGTAGTTTGGCACCAGAGGAGAACAAAAGGTTTGATGCAGCTCTGCAAGAATTTAAATGTGGAGTTGTGTGTGGCCTAATGTAAAACCTGTGCAAAACAAATGAATTTCAAAGTGGTTTGTGCTCTTCTAAAAACACAGAATGTGTACACGTAAACAGTTACGACACCTTTTGAATGTGGTTAGTGTGCATCTTCGTTGTAAAGAGGAAATCCAAGTGATCGGTGGGAAATGCTGGTAAATGAATCCTTGCAGCAACATTAACTGTCTCTCAAACGGCTTTTCTGACCATGGTGCTGAGCAAAGATGGCGGGTTTAAAGTTGATGTTTTCTCTCCGTCATCTGCAGAACATACCCTGGATTTTGATGAAAATGAAAACTCCATGTTCTCCTCTCTTCCCCCGCCCTCCTCCACCTCCCTGGACCCGCTGCCTGACAACGCCCTGATGAGAGTCAAGCCAGTCCACACCTACTCCCGAAACAACAGCCAGAACCATAACCACAGCCAGAACCACACCTCCTCCAGACCTCCGCCAGGGCCCTCCTCTTCAACTGTGGCCTCTACCTCCTCTGTTTTCCCTTCTGTGTCAGATGCTGTGTCATCCTCTGCTGTGCCTCCATTGTCACAGTCCCCCACTAGCTCCAGCATGACGGCCTCTGGACTCTCTGCTCCTTCTTCTTCTTCCTGTTTATTTGCTCACCCTCCTGCCTCCTCCTCTGCGACTGTGGTACCCACTGACTCTACCTTTCGCCCTGTGCCCACCTCTTTCTCCATCCCCCCACCTCTTGCTCCTCCTGCCACTTCTTCCACTGCTGTATCCTCCTCCTCTTCTGGTGCTTCTGCAACCTCTGCTCTTTCATCTTCTGTCCCTTCTGCCAGCTCTCGTCAACCTCCTCCTTCCTCCTCTGTCCCCCCACCTTATCATCCCCCCACCTCAAGCTCAAACCCATCTGACCCTCTCCCAGCTGGAGCGTCCTTCTACAGGTCCCAGGACCAGGTGGCCCAGATGGCCTCTCAGAGCCTCCAGCAGCAGCGGGCCAGTAGGATGCTCCTGACCTCGGTGTCCCAGTCTCTGGAGATTCTGGCTCAGTCTGTGCAGCTGCTGGTGGAGAGCCAGCATGAGTTTGTGCAGGAGTCGCTGCAGCTGCAGAGAGAGACGGTGGACATCCTGAGGGACTTCTCCAACACTGCCCTGACTATGTTGAGGGACAAAACCCACAGTGGACATCTGGCAGCACACCAACATCATCATCCCCCTTCACACTTCTGAAAAATGAAGATGAACACACTAGTAGTTTTTCTCCGGAGACAAAAATGGGCTGAATGGGAAGAACCAACAAGTCAAGTGCAGGTACATTTTGACAGTGAAGAAAAGCCGCCTGTGGGGTCCTTTGGATTTTAACATCTGTCTTGTTGGTAATGTCATGAAAAAGACTGATATTTGACTTTACCTGCATGGAATTGGGACAAAATATTTGCCCAAAGGCAGACTGGCAGCACAGGCATGCAGTTCTAGGCCAGGAAGTTGTGCCTGAGTTGTGCTTTTTCTTTTGTATGTTTTCCACACTGTAATTGCCAACACGAGGGTTCTGAGCTGCTGAAACCCTGACACCTGCTTTCCGACTGGATTGTGCTGATGTGTGACGACAGTAGATCTACAGTTCTTAACCTCAGGACCCCCTGAGGGGTTGTGGGAAGGGACACCCCCTGAGGGGTTGTGGGAAGGGACCAAAAATAAGTTAATATGAAATCAAATCAAGCTGAGCTGCTGCGGACTAATCCGCTTGCCAAGCGGTGATGTTACATTCTGTTTCCAAGTCCAAACTGGTGTTTGTTCTCCTCCTCCCCATTGTTTCAGTAGATTTGAATCAAAAATCACAGGTCAGCTGTCATTTTACTGCTTTCCTTGTGATAGAAAGGAGAAAAAGAAATGACTACAGCTGATTAGATAAGTCACAGTATTCTTAAATTAATAAAAATAAAACTTCTAAAAGTGCTGCCTTGTAATGTAGCTGGTGTAGAGGGTCACAAGCTCTGTGCTTTGGGTCTGGGGAAGTTTGGACCTGGAAGTGGAACATTGCATCACACTTAAAAAGCGGATAATGAAAAGCTGAGCGCTGATGTTTTCTCTCTCTCTGTAGATGAGTTTCCATCCACTGTTTTTATGCAGAATTTCAGTTTCTGCATTAAAAACAAATTCAAATAAAATCTGTGTTTGGCTGAGGTGGAAAAGTTGGTGCATCAGTAAAAGCCAAACACAGTAAAGTGCAGTGAAAATAGATCAGTCATACGTGAAACATGATTTAAATGTCACTGGACAGAGGAAAAAAAGGCAGCACACCAAACAGATCTGTGTGGAGCGAGGCGGAGCGGAGCGGAGGCGACTGTTACCGTACAAAATGCCACATTTTCACCCACTAAGGTTTGACTGTGATCTCCTAATTATATCATGTTGTTGCGCCCTCTGCTGCAGTGATTTAATGATGCTTGACTGGAAAATTAGCTCCACTAGCTGTTTGTCTCAATGAACTCCCAGTGGTCAAATCCCCGTGGTAGATAGAAGCGTGCATGGATTCACATTTTCCTCTGCTGATTTTCAGATAGTTTGGATGGAAGCCCACATTGTGATGGTCACAGACAGAGAGCAGGGATGGCAGGGAAGGGCTGTTCAAGTCCAGGACAAATCTATAGATGAAACAAAATGTGCCAGTGATGGAGAAAGTGACAGCATCAACTCACTGGCCCCTCTTTACAACTAAACCAGTGTGTTTTACACAGCCATACAGTGATTGTTAGGCTAAGTTTAGCAAATTGTTGTAAGCCAGCTTAAGACAAACACTAATTATATGTAATGCTCGAGTCTAATTAGCTCTGTACATGGGGCTGTGAAATGTTTTCATCCTCAAAAGGAGGTTGTGCTCCTGGCACTAGTTGATGCAAGGACATGTTTGTGATTCATTTGACATTTTTAACCTTCCTCAGTGTCATGTGAGAAAGCAACAAACATATCAGAAGAATCCAGCGTTGCATCAGTGGCAGCGCTGCCCAGCCTCCATGTTGTCAGAGTCAGTCTGCGTCAGCTCCGAGCGGCTCTACACTCACACTGTCCCTTCCGCTGCTGGAGTGTCCACTGGAGGAACATCTGGTTTCCAGCAGGAGCGGAAAGCACACGGACCTTATCGCACCCACATCCTGTCCACCTCACACAGGATGAGCGGATTAAAAACATAAAGAAGATGTTTCGTTGAGGTTACTGCTGAATTTACTGCTGTATCTAGCATAAAGAAGATGTTTGGTTGAGGTTACTGCTGAATTTACTGCTGCTGATGAGACAGTGAGCTGCTGTCATTTCCAGAAGGTTCATTTGAGTCACTTTCAGTCAAAATAAAGGACAAACAGTTCTCTCTTGTTTCTGTGAGGTCTAGAAATCTGCTGCCAACATGCCTTCACATTCATTCTCGAGCGCCTCAGGAGCAGGGATGATACTGGATGGGAGGTTTTATGTTTTTTTATTTTTTCTGGCCCAAAATTCTGTGTAATCGAATGAGAGAGTGTGCATGTTCCAGTCAGGAGGCAGCCATATGGTTACTGAAAGATTCAGATTTGATTCCAGTCCTTCAACCCCTGCCTGCTTCCTGACCTTAGTAGTGTAGTAGTACTTTGATTTCTTCCTCTTAAAATCCCAAGAGTTTTTTTCTTGTTAGTGGTTTAAAACATAAGCTCTGTCTGTGTTTCTGACCAATAAGCTGGTGGGTGTTCGAAACACGGTGTTAGGCCCGAGTTCAGTCCTACTGTGAGAAATTATTTCAACTTCAACCAGCTACTTTGCATCACAGTCGTTGCAGTACTTTTGTATTTTGGTTATTATTGTCTAAAGACTTCTTTCAGACCTTCCCTGTTGTATTTTGTGTCCCAGTTACCAGCAAACACAGTTGGGGTGAGCGACACAGGTATATTTAGTGTATTCCAACGTCGATACAGTAGTTTTTCTGGAAAACTAGCTGAGAAACTGCCTTTACAAATTAGATCCTTTACAAATCAGATGTCAGTTGACAATATTGCCAGAAAATATCATATTGGTCATCCCTACATCAGTGTCTCTGTCCACTAATAAATGTTGCAATTAGAGATGCAAGTAGAGAACAAGTAAATATTAAGGTTTCATTGAGTTTCTGAGTTCAGATGCTTAGACGCGTTATTTTGTTGCAGGTGAGTTGGGAACAGCTTTCAGAGTGACTGTGCTTTCCCTCTTTCACAGACTGTTCACGCTGGTTTAAAGATGTTATTGAATATATTTGATTCACTCTCTGTAGAAGAGCAGAGAACAGTTCTGTGATGCAGCGGAGCAAATGAAAACGTGTAAAATTCTGTTATGAAAAGCTATTAAAGGAAATCACGAATGCTGTTAAATATTTTTGACGTTGCTTGTTAGCGATTTTACACAGAGCGAAGTCGAGCAGTAAACCCGGCTCCTGAGCCACTGAGGTCCGTGACAAGGCGAGGCGAGTTCTACAGCATGGATTTTAATGCAGGGTCAATGCAGAAAGATACCTGACCCATAATCCTTTGCTTCAGTCTGAATTTATGAGCATTTCAGTCAAGTCAGGGAAGGTCTATTGAAAATGTGTACAAAATGATACTTGTGAAAAATACTGGTACGCATGTTGCTGCGGTTTCAGTAGCACACAACATATGAGAGTGATGTGCTTTTGGAGCTTGTTCTTTGGCCTCCTTTGTGCATTGTTTGAAAATACAGTTCCCTCACCTGCAGCTGGCTCTCTGTCTGACAGACTGACCAAATGACTTGTAACTGTTGTAAAACCAGGCTGTGGTTTCCTACAAGCAAATCCTGAGAATAAAGATTTTATAATTAACAGAAGTCTGCTTGCTTATAGTCCTTTTAAGTGCATTTACTTTAAAATTGCTCCATAATGATATTGGCAGAATTGATATTTCTCAATTATCTTGTACTTAAACTTGCACATCTCTGATGCTTTGTCTACGTAGGGGTAGCTCCACACTCACTGTGTCTCCTGGGCAGTGTCTGATTGCTGAGGAAGGGTCCTGGTAGTGTTGCTGTACACTGGACCAGCCTTAAACCCACACATGAATCCCAAGACACAGAAATGTACTTGGTTCAAACAGACTGTTAAAACCTTGTGTTAGCTACAGCTGAATATTTAAATACCTGCCAGGACTCTAGCTTGTGTCCCCCTTTTCTTTTTCATGTTGTGACAGTTTGCTTTACTGCAAGTCCATCCATCCAATATCTATGCTGCTTATTCCTGAATAGGGTCGCAGGGGACTGGAGCCAATCCCAGCTGACACTGGGTGAGAGGCGGGGTCCACCCTGGGCAGGTTGCCAGTCTGTCACAGGGCTGTCACTTAGAGACAGACAATCACACTCACACTCACTCCTACGAACAATTTAAAGTCCCCAATCAACCTAAGGTGCATGTCTTTGGACTGTGGGAGGAAGCCGGAGCACCCGGAGAGAACCCACACAGGCACAGGGAGAACATGCAGACTCCACACAGAAAGGCCCCGGGTTGGCCGGGGCTCGAATCTAGAACCTTATTGCTGTGAGGTGACAGCGCTAATCACTGCAACACCATGCCGCCCTTTATTGCAATTGAAAAGAAGTAATCAGAGCAACCAAAGATTCTTTCAGTGTAACCTGGCATGTCAGTATGTATTAGCTTGGATGAATTATGAGACACTAGGCCCCTGGTCACAGACACGTTAGGTTCCTACACTGGAGCAAGTCCTGAGTTTTGTGTCACTTTTTAGCAATTTAGTCTCTCTGTGGCTGTTTTGCATCCATATTTTATTGTTTTAATCCTTAAGCTGTGACCATTTGGCGTCCCTTTGCTTTGCAACTGGTCATTTTTTGTTTCTTTTTAGTCGCTTTGTGTCTCTTAGTGGCTTCATTTTTGTCTCTGGCTTTTTTGTCTGTGAGGTTGTTTTGCATGTTCTCGTGCTCACTTTGCATCTCTGTGGCAATTTTGTACAAATTTTGTATCTATTTGTTATTGATTGACTTTCCATCAAGAAATGTTACACACATACTTCATATAGAGGTTCTGGCCCAGGGGCTCCAGGGCCTGTGCCTGGTAGGCCCATTCACTAATCCATCCATGTATACCAGGCACATCCAGTTTTAGTCATTGGTTGGCTCTATGAGAACTCTGGCATGGGGTGAACATCGGTATTGGCAGTGATCATTTTAACGACTTCTTCTAGAGAGGTTACTCCATAATAATACATTCTATTTTGTTTGTTGATGTCTTGTTTTATTTTAAAATCTGACTTGCTAAAGTGTGGGGTCTCTCTCTTTAATCCAGTGGAAGAGACAGGACAAAATCCACAGTCCTGTAACACAACCAGATCCCCACAGGCCCTGCATCAAAGCCCAGCTGAACATCTGGCTCGAGGGACAAATCCAATGTTTTGAATAGGACTCACTGGGTCAGATTTAAGTGAGAGCTGTTGTGATGGCTTGTTTGCACCATAACTTCATAGAAAACTGTAAAGAGATGTTTCTACTGCAGGTTTTCTGGCTGACCTGTCCAGAGCAGGACAAATTCTAATGACCATTTTAATTATTTTTATTTTTGCATAATTCTCCAGGTCCTAGGTCTCCAGACAGAGGAAAGTATATTCTATAGGTAAAAAATAATTATACACTCTGAATTAAACAAAAAGTTATCACACTAATCTGTCTCTTACCTGTGTTCAGAAATAGATGATAGCTCTTCTGGTGGGCTGCAGGAGAAGCAGCAGGGAGTCTGGGGTGACATGAGTAAAGTTATCTGATGTGATTTGCAGACAGCTGGGCTGTGGTTCTGTGGTTCAGGCTGTCAGCACCTAATTCTTTATCTTCATGGAGCATCACGCCTTCCTGTCTGAAGGCAGAACTATAAATCTGTATTAGTATTAGTCTCACTAGGCCTTCAAACTGAACATTTTATTGGTTATAGTGTCAGTACTATATCTTAGAGTAGCAGCACTGCAGTGGCTTTTATGTATACCAAAAGGTCACTACAATCAAAAATAATGTTTTTAAATATAGTCAAATCAGATATTCTGTTACAGATCTGAATCTTTCAAAAATAAAATAAAATCTGTACATGGGTGAAATCAAGAATGTTAATCTGCAGGTGGACTCCAAAACTGAAGGAATTCTTTCATTACATAGTTATTTGTTTGCTAAGTATATAATACATTTCTGAAAAGGTAATGTAAGAGTAAGTTTCCATTAGTGATTATTGCCTGATATAATTATTAATGGCCAAGCAGTGTGGACTGGAAAAATCATTACTATAAATCCCCAATAAGCTTAAAGAATACTCTAAAATAAGAGACATACACACAATATTTCTGTCAAAAGAGAAGAAACCAAGTTCTGTTTATATCAGAATAACAACACATTGGCTTTTTCCAAGAAAAATATCTTTTTTATTTCATTATAAACCCACATAATTGTATCTATGAAAGCATAAAATCCCCATTTCGCATGTTGTTGTTTTTTTCTCCGTGTTATGGTCATTTGTTTAGTTATACTCAAAGTAAATCTTGGGTATCAAACCATCGAAGACTGTAAGATGTATGTCACATACAAACACAGACACTGTCAAACGGCAAGGGGGGAAGGAAGGGGCGGGACAGCACAAGTTCTGCTGACCGTCTTTTGAAACCGCTAAATACATTTAACGATCTCGAGTGCCAGTTTTTAATAGTAGGAACACCTACGGTCAAGTTCACCAGTGTTTCGTACATGTACAGTTGCATTCCAGTGTCAAACAGAACATCAGAATTCACCATTTTCACCATCAAATGTAGAGCCGGAGGTGTGTGCTTTAAGTTGGGCTTTGAATAAATTCTCTGTGGTGTTCCTCAAGGCTCCGTTCTGGGGATACCAAAGTTTGTTTTTTTTAATGCTCCGACACAGAGAGAACCAATCCACCGTGGACGCAAACACACCGATTATTTCAACATTAGCTAAGTCATCTGCAGCCAGAAGAGTCAGGCTGGTAATACTGGAGATTACACTATTCAGTTTTTCATGAAAATGAAAATGAGAGAGAGAGAAAGAGACAGACAGGGAAAGAAAGAGTTTGGGAGGGGCTAGAGATAAGATGAAAACATATGATTAAAATGCCAGAGAGGTTCACCATTTATTCTGACAGTTTATTACTGAGGCTCCGAGACAAGACGCTGATGATGTGCTCATATCTTCAGTCCAAGGCCCAACATGTATTTTCTCTTTGACTGCTAAGAGATACCAGACAGATGTGCTTCTGGCAGTCTGCATATTCTCTCGATGTTGTAATATGCTGTCATAACACTCTGGTAATCCTTTGGCATATGACTGTATGCTGAAGAGCGGGGCCACCAACCACTGACAAAACACAATCGAAATAATCCTGAAAACGTGTCAGAAAATGGATTTTCCCATGTCCACATTCACTATACTTCCAGAGCAGCATTTAGTGGCTGCATAGATTCCAACTGTCAAATGCAGAGACTAAATCCATCCGACACCCTTCAGAGCCCGGTCAGATCATTGGATACTTCCTTCAGGAAAGAAGAAGAGACCCCAGATCATGTTCCCTCTGATTTCTGCACTCCGAGGTTTGAATCCCCAGTTAAACACCCAACACAAGGGTTCAAAGCCCACAGCCTGACCTGTATCCAACATGTCTGGTCTCAGTGATCTGGAGCCTTTTGCATATTAACAGGAGGCTTTTTCTTCTCCTCTGGCTGCCCACAGGACCTTCCTGTTATATCCCATCTGGTTCTGGTATGAGGTGGTGTCAGAGGGTAGGGTGTATCTCTGGGTCAAATACCTGATCATCTGGGCTCTGAGCGTGAACGTGCAACCCACTGGGGCACCTGAAGGAGACAAGAGATGGACAGAGGTACAGACTGACGGATTTCTGCATTTAAAAGCGCACTAGGTCTGATTTTAGTGCTGTTTGTGGACTTTCTTCTGGCAGCAGATGAATAAGTATTCTGATAGTTTACATACCCTTAATTTAGAAATAGTCTTTTACAAGTAAAAGTCCTGCATTAAGAATTTGATTGTGAAAATACATTTTATCTATAAAATGTACTTAAAATACAATAGGTAGTATGAGTTACATTGGCTATGTATGACTGCTGTTGGTGTTTTATCACATTTTCTATTATTTTAACAATATAACTAAAAGTTCATATGTAGAATTTTAATGTTGAGGCTGGTGAAATGAAATGATATAAGTATTATTATTTTCTAAAATGATCGTGTGTTGCATGCTGCACATAAAACCTTATAGTGGTCAATTTAGTCTACCTCAGTAGATGTACTTACATTTATACAAAAAGCAACAATATGGTGTTGTTTTTGTGTTAATATAACTGGATACTTAACTGAAATTCACTCTATTGCTCTCTTTTTGTGGTTTTATCACATTTTTCCCCTGACTTCTAAGTAAACATGTTTTTCATCAGCTGGGCTCTTGTGGACTTCTTTCCATTATAGCCTGCAGATTCCTTAAGTCTACATTTGTTTGTTTGCTTGTCCTTGCTGTTTTTAGACATTATTTGAACAAAAGACAAACTGTGTAAATATCATCTCCAAAACCCCTCAAAGCATCTGGGTTTAAAATGTTTTTCAGTATTGATAGCTAAACGACTGCTAGGCCGACTGCTGAGATCTCAGTGTTTTAAACCCCATGACCTGTCTGTACTTGGAGCACCCCTTCACCTTTTGTACTTCTAAGGATAAGGATACAGATAATCACCTTTATTGGCCAAGTATGTAACACACAAGGAATTTGTTTCCGGTACAGAACCGATGGCAGCCATCTGTGGTGCCAACTCAACTGATGGCTCTAACCATCGGGGACAACGGGGGGGTTCAGTGTCTTGCCCAAGGACACTTCGACACGTGGACTGCAGGCACTGAGATTCAAACCTTCCGGTTGGGAGATGACTGCTCTACCCACTGCACCACTGTCGAGGCGACAGTGATAGTCGAGCGCTGTCTAGGGGAGGCAACGTTTGTCAGAAGTGGGATGTACTTTAAACACAAACTGTGGGCATGCAAATGCCATCACCACACTTCTCATTGTCTGGTAAAACTATATTTGGGTGCATGGGGAGAGTGAAGATGTTCAACTCTAATTTTGGCAGCAGGGGGCGGTCAGAGTGCAGCAAAAGAAAATCCTAAGCTACTGTATGGTCAGAAGATCTGCACAAAATCTGGCCATATACAAGTCACACCCAGGTGAAGGTGCTTTAAAATGATATGAGATGGAAAAGAATTGGCAGTCACTCAAGAATATGAAACCACAGAGAGAGAGGAGAAAAAGAGAGGACGGGGAAATAAAATGATGTATGAGAGAAGTGGAAAAGAAAATAAAGGACAGAGGAAGAGAAATAGGAAAGAACAGGAAGAGATGGAGCAAGAAGAGATGGGAGAACAGAAGGAGAGAGCAAATGAGAAGAAAGGACAGAAATGGATGAGATGAGAAGGGACGATGAAAAGAAGAGAAATAAAAAGATGACAGATGAGAGAGGACGGGGAAAGAAAAACAGAGGAGGAAAGGAAAGAATGGAAAGAGAGGAAAGGAAGAAGAGGTGAGAACAGGAGGAAAAAAGGCTGAATAGATGGGTATTAAGTATAAAAAAATGAAGAGAGTAACAGAAAGCAGAAAGAGCAGAATGCTTACATAATGGAGTGACACCAACCTGCATACCATGAGGGATCAGGTCATTATATAATGGCCCAATAAAGGGGAACAATGTTGTTTACTAAGGCATTTACAGAGCACTTAGAGACAGACTGACTCCAGACCTGCTAATGGCTGCTGACTGCTGCTTGCTCTCGCGTCACCTCTCCCTCAGTCACTCTCTTATCTTGCCTTTTCTGTTAAAATATGGGCTGCATGCCTCCACTGCTCTCTCCCTGAAGACTCTTCTTCTGGTGAAACAATATGTGCTTACCCTCTCACCTGTGTGTGTGTGTTTGGTCTCTCACCTCTCCTGCCTCTCCTCCCCTCCAGTGCTGTTAAGCTGAAAGTAAGTAAATCTGAAACACACACAGAATCAAAACAAATAAATGAATAACAAGACGATGCAGTCAGAGCTCAGTCAGATATCTCTCCACCTGTTTATCTCCAGATAGATGACGCATGGCCGGATGGAAAACACCAATCTAGCAACATGTTATGATCAAATGTGGCTATTGTGCTTCTCACAATAACTGTAATCTAATAAAAAAAACTTCAAATGCAATTTTTTAAAACTGTTATTAAAGGAATAGTTCAGCATTTTTAGAAATACACTTATTTGTGTACCAGACTAGGGGTAAAGCCCAATTCCCCACATTTCCCTTGCTTGCATCACTTCCTTGTGTCTTAGTCCCACCCACATAAGATATGAGGACAGAAGAATCAAAGAAACATGTTCATACAGATAGGACGTCCTCTCCCACGATCCTTCATCAGAAGCATCTGATCACCATCTGATAAAGGGGAGTATTAGTCTATAAAAGACTTCTGTAAAGGATGCTCTCGTTTATTCTGGCTCATGTCTCCTCACTCCCTGGGGATGTCCTTCACGATGGAACGACTTCCGTGTCAAGCGAGGATCAATGAGAAAGGTATGAACAGATAAAGGAATTGGGATTTAGCCCATGGCTGGGCACAGACACTCCCTGTGGGTTTGTGATCACAGAGTTTGCCAGCAGAGACTATATGCACTCGACCGACAAGTACCTCCAGCGCACAACCCTGTGAAACCACAATGCGTCACTGTTACAGCTGAGTTTTTGTGCAATGAGCCTTTATTCCTTTAATGCACTTTTTGACCTCATTGTATTTGCATCCCCCTGTTATATAAAAGGAACACTGCTTTTTACCGCCTTCTCTTGGATTAATATTAAATTCTAGCATGTTTTAGGAGAATATGAACTGTTCATCAAAATGAATATTTAAGAGAAAACAGATATTTCCCTCACAGTGATACAAAACTGAGAAAAACAAAATCGACACATAAATAAACAAGTGACAAAGAAATGATGGACGAAGGATAAATCAGAGATAATACTAATGTTCAACAGCTGATAGCTAGAGGACCGTTTTAGCGCCGTCTCCTCTGTGGGAGCCATAAATCTGGCTTCAGCTTTCTATTTGGTGACTTCTCATCTTCTTCACATCCAATCTCCTGCCAATCCCTCACTCCATCCCTCTTCCACCTCCCCCTCATCCCTGAGTTTTATCTCCATCTCTTCATCTTTTCTTGTCAATAAATGTGTCTCAGGGCTCAATGACTCATCTGTACTTCTCCCTCTGGTTGGTTGGCTGTTTCTCTCTGTTGTTTTCTTCCTTCTCCATCTCACTAACTAAATATAAGACCCTAATCCTCCCTTCTGTCTCCCTCTCTCTTTGTCTTTCTTGGATATTTCTTTTGGTCACCAACTATAAACCTACAATCTGCCCGTCTGTTACCAGGGCTCTTTATCGGTCTTTCTACTTCTTTTCCATGTACACCCAGGTCTTTTTCTGATGGAGATTAAAAGGACTTGTTTTATTTTAGTTAGAGTTTATGAAGCCACTAGCAGTGTTATGCCATGAATTGCATTCAAAGGCCTCCCTCTAAAACTAGATATCAGCAAACGGCAGAACCCGAGTTGGGACTTCACCGCTTTCTGTCACACTCAAGGTTTATTTAGAGCGGGTGGCTCTGTAGAAAACCACTTTACATTATATCTTTGTTCATAATTATGTGACCACAGTAACTTGGCTGAGGGTCTATGAGACATGACATCCATGGGGTAGGCAAGCAACTCTAAACAGTCTCAGAGATCTCTGAACTTGGTGGCATCACTAAAAAGTCTGACTAAAACTGCTGCACTCACATTCAGTGCCGCCTGCAGCTGTAATCCTGTACGCACCGTGCATATATTTTCCTTTTTAATGATTTTTCTCACGTTTTAGGCCACTGGGTCTGGAGGTCAATGCACAATCACCATATAGAGATACAATATAGTCTCAATGGCCCAAAGAGCTATCTGATATCACACACGATAGCGTGGATCACGTCATTTCTACTCCCTAACATGAGCCCCTGCAGCTTGGAGTGAGTGATGGCAGCCACACACTGATTTGACCTGCTGCCAGTAATGTCTGTAACATCATCGGGACCCATCTTGTTATAACGAGAAAGGCTTCTCGATAACACAAGATAGGGTGATGTTTCACTAATCTTAACCAAACAGTTTGAGCTGTCTTACCTTACACATGCAGCAACATTTCTAAACACTGACAACAACCCGTTAAATAGATCACTGTAGGTCACTTGTGATTTTGCCGAATTGTCCCATATCACTGCCTCTGCTTGGGACATGTGACCTGTTCACAGAAGCTACTGCTGGAGAGAGGGCCTTCTCTGGTTTCTCTATGTGAACTGGAGATTTTTGTGATTATGAAAACTTGTTTGCTAAGATATAAATATTTCTTACTTTTTAAAATCATGCTTTGAAGACGACCATGTTGCTGAAATGCTGAATAAATGATTTTCTCTTCAGAGCAAAGATAGCACAGCACATATTTTTCCTTTGCGTTCAGGCTGCTAAACCAGCACTTCCTCCCTTTGTGAATATTCTATAAACCTTTAGAAATGACATGCTGGTTTCACTGTGGTTCTCTGTTCCGGTCTCCTCCATTAGCAGAGTGTGGCTGTGCTGGGAAACTCCCAGTGTGAATGTATGGGAATGCACCAGTGTGAATGAGGGCATCCTTCTACTTCCCCTGGATACATGAAAGTAAAAATAAAAGTACACGAGTCCGCGGCACTGTGTGCAGTGACCAGCAGGTGTCACTGTGGCTCTGTGCAGGGCCGCAGGCTTCCGCCTCTGTGGCGTTCGCTAACAGTTTAGTCACTGTGCCATCCTGCTGCTGGGGGCCAGGTGAGGATAATAAAAGCATGCTGAATGAGGCCCTGATGCCTCATGACTTTACTGAGTGCACAGTGATGTTATCTGCCTGTGTCTGCGCATCTCTCTCTCTCTTTCTCTCTCTCTCTCTCTCAGTGCTCATAGGTAAGATGGGATGGTGGGACTGTATGGAGGGAGCCATTGTGTTGAATTAATGTGAGGATTTCTGTGTGTATTTGTGTGCTTGAATAGCTTGTGTGCATGTGTACAGGTTTTGGTGTGTGTGTTGCATTTGCTGAAGATTCAGGCTTGTTTGTGTATTTACTGTACAGATATGCTTCTGTTGCTTGCCTACATACACTTAACTCAATTTCCAATGACGCCCTTAGGTCCGCTGCTTGTGTCCATCTTTGTGTATTGTACAACAGAGTCGGCTGGCCCTGGTATGCACCAGTCTACCATAGCATCGTTGGCATCTCACCTCCACATTTATTTTAGCAAACTAGGCCATGATCATGCTCCCAGAACACAGTATATGTGATTAATGTTTGCTGCTCTTGTTGTTAGGTGGTCTGGTAAACCACTGAAAACATCAACACACTGCTTTAAGGCAGTGTTGACTTTTTCAATATCTTTCGCTTAACTTAATAAATGCTTACGCTGCAAGTGTTTGACGGGTAAAGCAAAGCATTTGACATAACACGTTGATCTGATGATTGTTGTAGAAGAAAAGAAAGTGAAGGATTTATCCCTTGGTTTGTGCCAATCCAGTTAGATGATGAAATATTTCACTGGAACGTCAAGGACCTCATGAACATCTGTGCAGTGTCATGACAATCCATTGGACCAAGGTGTTGGACTGAAAACATGAATCATGATTTTCTCATGGGCAGGTAATGCAGGAGAACACATTTACATTATGTTATGTAATAAAAATACTCCAAGCAGAATTAAGTTTCTCTTAAAAATTTTCTTTTGCAAATTAGTAATCATTTCTAGGGCAACTGGATAGGCTGGGATCACAAGGGTTGGCTCAACACTTCTCCGCTAATCTAGTGTACAAAGAAGTAGAAAAAAAATCAACTGGACTAGATTTCTAGATCGAAGACATTTCACCTCTCATCCAAGAGGCTTCATCAGTTCTGACTGACTGGTGTTGAGCCGGAGATATTTATCCCCCTCGGTGGTGTTTCAGTCCTTTGAGGGCCAACAGTGTCCCTTAATGACTGAGTCGTTGCAGCCCAGTATCTGTCTTTGAATCCTCCCATGTGGACCGACGCCTATTGTCCTGGTGGACATGTTTGGGCAGAGATCTCAAAACAGGATTGTAAATGGATGACAAGTCCACCACCCCTATTTAGTGAGGGGTGTTCTATTTTTACAAAAATAGCTTCCTTAACTCCTCTCTCAAACCAGCGATGTTCTCTGGAGAGGATCTGGACTTCACTGTCCTCAAAAGAATGTCCTTTGTCCTTCAGGTGGAGGTGGACCGCTGACTCTGGTCCACTGGAGTTGGTCCTCCTGTGTTGGTCCATGTGTTCTGCACAAACGCACCAAACTGCTAACTACCAGTTGGGCAGAACTGATGAAGCCTCTTGGATGAGAGGTGAAATGTCTTCAGCCTAAAACCAAGTCCAATTGATTTTTTTCTAAGTTTTTTCAGCTTACTACCTGGATGACTGAGAATCTGCACGGCCAAGTGTACGAAGACGTTCCTACTCACTGGGGCACATTCCAGGGCCACATCTTGGTTTAAAATCTTATTACTGTTCAAACATTTTTATAGATGTTTAATGAGCCTTGCAGGGTGATCATGAAGGTGAAGTGTAAAATGCACAAACAATACAATTTGTGTGCCTGTGGGTCAGTGTGTGTGTATGTGTGTGAGGGCAGTGCGTCAGGCTGACCAACAAACAGCAGCTCAGTTCATTTTGACTGGAGACAGAACAGCTGATGCAGTTTGTGTGTTTTAACACTGTGTGTGTGTCTGTGTGTGTGTGTTTTGCAGATATTAAACCTACGACAAATGTGGAGGCTGCTGAGATTGCTGCCATAAGATAAAGATGTGTGTTCAGCATGTGTGTATGGATGCTGTGTGTGTGATAAAATGTGTGTTTTTAAAAGTGAGGTGTCTTATTACAGGGAGGCGAGGAGGGATGGCTCACATATTAAAAGAGGATGTAATATTACAGGGGCATAGCGGGAGGATGGAATGTGAACGACAAATGAAAACGGGAGCCTAGAGCAGAAACAGAACATGGTTTCACTTCCAACACACGCAGCCTCTAAATTTACTGTGGGACAGGAAGCAACAGGGCTGATGGGTGAAGTGGAGCTAATTGGGAGAAACAGAAACAGTTTGTTATTGTGCTTAAAAAAAGAGACTCTGATATTTGATGATCAGATGAACAGAAGAGCATCGGTTTGTCTTTGAATGGAGCAGCTAGATTCCTAGGGTGCGCCCAGGAGTGTTGCATTATGGGTTTGTACCCTTAATGCACGGAGTTTCTTCAGCTCTGTTTAAAGTGTGTCTTCTACAGCGAGTCTGCCCTGAATGCTTTTACATATCCCAGTTTAAATGATGTGAGTTTATGTCAGTTGAGGTCTTTTTCCAAATAAAGGAGGTTGTTGTCTTGTAATGAAGGTTGTCTGATATTTGAACCTGTACTTCTGGATCCATATACTGCACATGGTGTTGTCCTATTGTAGTCGTGTACGAACATCAAGCACACTAATGTGGATAAGAACAGTGCAGTGCACACTACGACCAGTGGCATGATTTTCAAAATACACAGGAATGAGCAGATTGTACTGAAACAACAAAGGCTGCATTTTACTCCCGTTTCCTGTATCATAAATTATCTGGATAATGACATCTGATCAGGGGCAGCTGAGATCTGACCTTGTTAACTCAGCTGATCTGAGTTAACATGGGATGGAGTCTCTGTTTGTAAATACAGAACTGGCAGACGTGTCAGCAAACATGGCTGCTGTGTGGGACAGGGGGAGGTGGAGATGACCTTTAAATAGACTTGGAATTGTCTATACATTATTATCTATTCTGCTTATCCTAGAGGGTCATAGAGGGCTGGAGCCAATCCCAGCTGACACTGGGTGAGAAGCAAGGCCCTTCTATCACAGGCCTGACACACACAGACATCCTCACACCTGTGGACAGTTTAGTCTCCACGCAACTTAACCTGCATATGTTTGGACTGTGTACCCAAAGAAAACCCGTGTAGGCACAGGGAGAACGTGCAGACCCCACATAGAAAGGCCCTGGGCAGGATTTGAATTCAGAACCTTCCTGCTGGGAGGCTATCCACTTCACCAACGTGTCGCCCACTTTGACTTGTGTCCAGCTGCAGAAATGTCATTAACACTGGCTGAGGTCTCTTTTAGTTGTACTGTGCATTTACACTAGAAATAACGTGAACGTCCCAACGTTAAGAGGAAGTGAACTCCAATTACCGACAGATAATATGTGAAGCGTGTCAGCACAGAACCTCATGAACCAGAGAAGATGATGTTCTGTCATGTTCCCATCATGTTGCATGCGAAATGTTTTCCGAGAGACGAGGAAGAAAAGGTCACGTATTCACACAGTCGCATAGGGCATGAGAACCACAGACATAAAAGACTTGTTCCACCTGTTTAGTTAAACAGTGAATGGAGCGGCTCACCCTAACAACATTGTGTCACGCTCCAGCCAACAAACTACACAAGGCCAGTATTTCAATTCACACAGAGATAAGATGAAAAGAAACAGTTCATAAATTGTGTGAAGGGGAGAAAAGCCTCCAGAGCCTTGACAGATACCTTTCTATAGAGTATACATCTCAATTTGAGAGGGAAATTGGTAGCAGAAATATCACAAGATAAAGAGAAAAGCCATGGTGGGGAATAGCAGCCAAACAAAATGACCTTCAACTCAGAAATGAAAGGAACAGAGAAGGGAAGGGAAGCATGGAAACAAAACAAGTCATTAAAATCAAACAAATTAGTACAAAGAGGGAGGGAGAGGAGCTGGTGCTAGTGTGGACGTGGAGGAAGAGGCAACAGGAAGTAATAGAGTAAATATGTTTACATACAATAGGGGGAGAAGGTGAGACAGGGAGAAGGGGTAATAAGGAGAAAAGCCACATTTAGAATTTCTCTCAAGAAAAGCATAAATGTAAAGAAGAAATCCTAACATATAGTCAGCAGGTGCTGCAGTATGATCTGTACACATGTGAGTAATAACCTAAAAAAAAGTATGTTGTGAAGAGATTATGTGACAGACAACACTGGGAGAAGCCTTGTCACTTCACCTAAGGCTGGCTGAAACAATCTCAACTCTAGTTTTGGCTGAGCTGAAGTGACATCATCTGTGAGAACCGCCTGCTTCTGTGTTGAAGAACGCTAACGTCACCTTCAGGCACCGGCAGCTGCTTCCACTTCACAACTCTATGAATGAGTGAACAGCTGATGTACTTGATGAATAACTCAGTATAGCAGGTAATAAACAACTAAAAGAGACCTACTACCCGACACAGCCACCATCAGTTAGATATACTGTATGTTAAACTGTGTTATATATATTTCTAGAGTCGTTCTTATTAACCCCCTCCCCCCGGCTGCACCCACGGTGAGGTGCAGCCTGAATTCACTCCTTAGCAGCTAAGAACATGTCTGTGAGCTTGTGCAGACCTCTAAACCTAACCTTGCAGGTGTCGGGCCTTCATGACATGAAACAACTGCACCTGAAGGCATCAGCTAACCTTGACCAGCCAGGAGTGAACTCCAGCCTGACCACGCCTTCACAGGTCGACTGAGCTATTTGTCTACAACTAGTTAGCAGCTACTCACCGATGACGCCGTAAAGTGGAGCTTGGCTCCAGGCACCAGCAACAAATCAAAAAAGGGGGAGGCAGAATTGGGATGGTCTTAAAGATTGGTGGGCTGTGGGTTGCATCGACAGTTTCTTGTGTGTTATTGGGAGATAGCGTCATCGTCATGGGTGGGATTTAAGTCCACTACTGTTGTCCCTCGAAGAGAGGTTCCCGCTACGCCCTCTGCTGCTGATGTTGTTTGGGAGTTTTTATTAGCCCCTCCACCTGGGAGACAACAAGATGGAGTCAAATTATCAGAAGCTGATAAATAGGAGCCACATATTTCCTCTGCCTCCAGTTACCTTGCCCTGCAGAGGAGGAGGACGGTGGCAGAGCGAGAATGTTGGCTGCCCCTCCCCCTCCTCCGTTAGTCTGGGAGCAGACGTTGGCCTGACGTGCGACGGCTTTCTGTTTGTAGTGGTTACTGTGCAGCTTATACTTCATCAGGAGGATGAAGATGAAGACAAGGACAGAGGCCACAATGATCCCCCCAATGATGATGATCATCGTCCCACCCAGGAACTGCAGAGAAAGATGGAAACAAGGCAGTCAGCTGGTCTTGTATCCTATGATGATTCACCGAGTCTGACCTCTCCTTTCACACGAGAAAATTAAATTACAACAGGAAATGTGTACCATTACTGAGATCATTAAAGCTGGGTAATGACTTTATTCCAATCATTTATTCCTGACCCTGGAAGTCTCTGAAACAGTAACTGAAAATGTAGCTACAGTTCCAAAACAACATGGGCCAATCCACCTGTTGAGGATTAATTAAATGTCTCCATCTTCCTGATGAACATACAGTATTACATAGTCTTTTCAACAGCCCTTACCACGAGTCAGGAAACTCTGCTACTTCCTGCTGTTTTCAGACTGATGCCGTACGAACACACTAACCTGGTCTCGGATGGAGTGACAGCGTCCGTACTCCGTCTCCGTGGTGAAGGACACGCAGCCTACCAGTTTGGTGCCAGTCAGGGCGGTGATGCCGTCATCGTAAACAGCCAAAACGCACAGCTC